CGGATTCCCCTGCAACCAGTTCGGAAGCCAGGACCCTGGAACCGACGACGAGATCCAGTCGTTCTGCCAAATCAACTACGGAGTGACCTTCCCCGTGCTGGGCAAGTTGGACGTGAATGGCGACAAGGCCGCGCCGGTGTGGACATGGATGAAGGAGCAGCAGCCCGGTCTGTTGGGGCTGAAGCGCATTAAGTGGAACTTCGAGAAGTTCCTGATTTCGGCCGATGGAAAGGTTGTGGGTCGCTGGGCTAGTTTGACCAAGCCCGAGTCGTTGGAGGAGCCGATTCTGAAGGAGATTGAGAAGGCGAAGAAGGAGGGCTCGTTGGCTTCGTTGAAGAAGGAGGAGGCGACGGCTTAGGGTGTGATATCATATTTATAATATATTTGTGTGAGAGGACGGGTGTTTGGTTGGGATGATACCATGCAGCAGTGGTAGCTGCTACTGCTGCTGTCTTTTTATACTATACTGAGTATTATATAATGGCTGTTACGCTACGCTAGGCGACTGGTGTTGCGAAACGAAAACTCTTCAACTGCCGTGTTCTGGACAGTGTCGTTATTTCATATCAATTCATATGCTAATTTAATCTCTTGTGTTTAAAATCATGCTGCAGCGCTACCCTTGGGGATCAAATTGCGCAAAGAGAGATCGTAAACCACATCCTCCACCTTCTTGACCTGTACCACCGCACTGCATTAGCATTCCATAACTTACACCCACCTTTCATAGGTGGAAACTTACACTGTATTTAATTCCATCACTCCTCTTCCGCAGAATATCATTCTTCAGATTCAACAACTGGAATCCCGCAAATAGATCCTTGATGAAATTGCCAATCTGCACCGGCCGAGTGTAATCACCGAGAGTGACCGAGTTGACAGCCAGACGGGCCTGTCACACCTTCTATTAGCAAAAAAACAAAGCATTCCAATAACATAATAAGATTGGAGGAAGGGGGTGACTGACCAACTCCTCAACCATAGAAATCAGCGCAAGCAGATACTCCTCAATAGTGAGATGGAAGGCATCCTGTTCCTTGAGATTTACGGGGACTAGAGATTATCATTAGAATCAAGTCCACACTCTGACTTTCTGAAAGGTAAAAGATAGACAGAGAACATACCACCCAGGAACTTCCCAACCTCTTCAATCGTCAGGAACGAAGAGGAGCTGTTCGTCTTGTACTCTTCCAGTCCGCCTAGCCAAGCGCAGAGCTCGATCGATGAGACCTGTTGGTTGGTTGGCCGTTAGCTCTCATCTGCAACAATCAAACCCCAGTAATAGAAGAGGCACGCACAAGGTTCTGCAACTCGCGCGTCCACACCCCATTGTACTTGTAGAACGGGTGCTTGTCCGCCACAGTCTTCAACCGAGATACTTCATCCCTCTGGGCGATGATTTCCTTGGTTGCGTCATCGAGGACGGGTTTCACTGTTCGTATTAGCTATATCCCTTTGAATACCCTTCAGATAGAGGGAGAAAGAGTTAAGCATACACTGATCAGTGGGTGTAGAATGAGCCCGCGACAGAATAGCTTGGGTAGATCTTCCTGTCTAGAATATCAGCCAAGCGAACCCCTTATATTGAGGATCTCCCCAATGCGATGATGAAGAGAGAACGGATGGTAAGTAAATACCCTTCCTAGCCAGCGTCTGCACAATATCATGAAGTTCCTGTACGATCCGTTAGCACAACGGCGCTTTGCTTTCGGGTTTTGTTTCTGCGCTTGGCGCGGGCACGGGCACGGGGGAACTTACATCGCGGACGGCAGCCTCCTCGTCAATTTTGGCCTGCAGGTCTTCGAAGATGTTGTGATCGATCATCTTGGATTATTTGTTTGTTATCTGATGTGTTGTGGTGAGTGATACTAATTGATTGGGATTCGCGTTGCGGGAGAGATGTTGATGAATGTTACGTCAGGGAAACAAAGCTGAAAAGAGAAATTGTGGGGCAGGTAGTTTTCTGCCGCTTTGGCTTTGGATTTTATATCACGGCGGATGAGTACCAGTAGAGATGATGGGTGAATGTTTTACTGCAGAAGAGTAATCTAGGTTCAGTAACGGGTTCTGAGGATGTTGATGAATTTGATGTTTATTTCACTATTAGTAGCGCCTTTCGCAGGTTCAATTCAACTGCAATGCCACTACGAAAGAAAGATACACCCCACCATACAGCTGCTCCTAAATACAAGCACCAGTCACTAGTGATTGAAAACATCACATTCTTCTTAATACTAACTCAACGAGCCTCTATGAAAGCCCACACAATCATAAATCATAGCAAAACTCAAACAAAATCAATTCCACAACAAGCACGACCATCAGTAGCGGTACCTTGTCGAGTAATCTATAGCAGAAGTCATGCATCAGCCAAACCATCCAGCCAGTACAGAATAACTCAAGATAATAGATAGACTTACCCTTCGGACTAACAACCAGACCACGTCCCTTCTTCGCACCCTTGTAAATGGTCTCAATGATATCGATCATCTCCTGCTTGTCTTCAAGCACCCAGTTCAACTTGTTGTTGTTACCTGTACCGAAATCACACATCATGTGTTTATTCCGGTAGAAGAACATGATGGTCATTGGGTCAAAGAGTTCGTACATCGTGTTGAACTCGGGTACCTCATCGATGTCGCAGAGGTAAATGACAGCGAAGTCTGGTTGGGCAGTTAGTCACTGAGATTTTTTCTTGCCAGGGAAGAGCTTTGGGAAAGAGAGAAAATGGATGAAGGGTTCCTTGACGTACTCTTCACACGTTCGGCGATCTTGAAAAGGACTTCGTCTTGACGCATGCCTATGATTCACTTCATTAGCACTGTCTTCTTGTGATAGAGACAAATTCGGGATGTCCTACAGTCAACATCATGATCGCGACCGAATCGGATGACCTATACAGCCTTGATTAGTATCATCTGCTATGGTCTAGGACCTTGACTTGGGAATATGTATACGCACCACGAGTCTGTCCTCCTCGGAAAGAATAGCCTGGTCGACGTGCCAGGCCGTACGCAGATGCGGGAGAACGACGGAACCCATGGTGACGAATTATAGTCTTCTAACGCTATGTATAGCACTTTAAGTTGGTGTTATCGAGAGGAATTCGTTGGTGCTCTCGCAACTTGCAAGTGATGTAGTTGATAACGATCACGTGGATGAGGAGGTAGTAGCGAAGAAGTTGCTTTGCTTGCTCCTTCTCGAAGTTTCGGATGAGGTTTCTAACCAAATGCTCTACAGAACGCAAGACGTTGGAATACTATGACTAGTCGATATATGTGAAGTATCTACTGTATCGCACTTTCTTCTCCAACCAGCCGGACAAGCCGACCAAATTGATGAAAAAAGGGTTGTTCGCGTCGATCGGGGATAGTGTAAGCCCGATGACACTGTGCAGCAAGACATGCGCAAGCACAGAGGTCTCGCCACGGGGTGCAAAAATAAGATTAATCAATGTTGTGTTCCTTAGAACACTTTCAGAGATTAAACTGAAAAGAACAGATACTACACTTGATCTAAGCCAAAAGGCAAAGAGAGCTGGAGAAGAAAAGAAGAAAATTTTTAAGGAGGGGGGGTGTGCGGGGTTTCTTTATGCTTGGTTGGGTTGGGCGTGCTGGCGCTAGTGGGTCTTGTGTCTGTTGTGGGCGGCATGTGCGGGGTGTTGTGTTGGCTGCGATTCTTTTCGTTTTTGGGTTCGTTTGTTGGTTCCTGTTTTTCGCGGCTGTCCTTGTGTTTTCTTTGTATGTTGTCTCGATGTTTCTGACTGTGCTTTTTGCTACTTTGTTTGTTGCTTCGAGTTTCTGGTTGTTCCTTCTCTATTTTCTTTCCCCTGTGGGCCGGTTTTAGTCCTGTTTTGGCCTAGCTTGTGCCTGTTTCTGTCTCTGTCTTCACCCGTCGTTCCCTTCCGTCCTATTGGCGCTGTTTGCTGTATGTTTTGTTTGTTGCATCTGCTTTTCTTTTTTGTCGTGCTGTGTCTGTGTGTATGCTTATACTTTTTGTGTGTTGACTTCCGTGCTGCTATTATTCTCCATGTCTGAGCTTCGGGGATCTGCCATTTTGGACGATTTGTCTCTTCCTTTTTTTTTGTCTTTCCTTCTGTTCTTGTTTTGTTTGCCTGGACGGTTGGCTGGAGGGTGTGTGGTTATTGGCAGTTGCGGTCGGTCTCGCGAGGACGGACTTTTGGGTTTTTCTAATTCTGGATATTTTTTTTCTTTTCTGTTCTCGTCGTTTCTTTGGTTTTGAGTTTCTTTGTCTTCGTTCTCTCTTGTTTTGGGCTTTTTTTCGTGGTTGTCGTCCCGGTCTTTGGTCTTGTCGGGCTGCTCGGTTATGCGGTCTTCATCTCGCTGGTTGGTGCCGTTCTTGTGGCGGTTGTTGGTGACATGTCCTTGTTTGGCCGCTGCCTGTCGTCCGTGTTTGTTCCTCTGCCTTTGCCGTAGCTCCAGTGTGTCCTATGTACTAGTCTGCCCCTTTGCACAGTTTTTCGAATTCGGTGAAGCCGCAGTGGTTGCGTTCTTGGCTCCGTGTCGTCTGGTCCTCCCAGGTTGTTTATGTGGTCTGCTTTTCCAAGTTTTTGTACTTCGTGGGCGCTTCGGTTGGTGATTCTCTTAGTGGTTGCTGTCTTGCCGCACCCTCGGCTGTCTGCTCATTGGCGGGTGCTGCTTGTGGTCGGGTCGGGGGGTTTCTGTTAAGTGGGCGCTTTTTCTTTGTTGGGGGTTTTTCGTTGTGTGTTTTGTTTGGGTCTTTCTTTGTTCTGCGCGGAGGGATTGTTATGCTGCTTTGGTGGTTTCTGGTTGTTGTTTCGGTGTTTTTTGTTCTTGGAACGTTTGTTTTTGTGCGTTTGCTTTTTTTCGTTGTGGCTAGCTCTATTCATGTGGTTCTGTTTGTTAGATACCCTATTTAGTGGTTCTATCTGTGCCTCGCTCCTACTTGTGTTTTGTTGTATGTTCCGTTGTTGGGTTTTGTCTGATTTCGCTTGCGTTTGCTCTTGGTATCTGTATAAGTTATCTGTGGCGTCGTTCGCTTTGCCTTCCCTGTGCTGTCTGTGTGCTGTTCTGGTTTTGGCCTGCTCCTGGTGCTGGGCTTGTCTGTGTTGTGTCAGTTTCCGTTTCGGGGGCGGGTGTCGGCGCACTCTGTTCGTTTTGTGTGGGCGATCCTTTTGGCTTTCTTCGCTTCCTGGTGTTCGTTTGTTTGGTCGTCACCATTTGGCCCGTGGTTCTGGCGTCTTCCTTGGATTTCTGGCTGTTGCTTGCTGGGGTTTGGTTGTCTGGCTCTGGATTTGTGTGGGTTTTCTTCTTTGAGGTTGTGGGGAGGTTTCTTTCGCGGGGATGTGGGTATATCATCCCTGTTTCGTTGTTTTTTTGCTGCGTTTTGCGTCTCGTTTTGCGGTCTTTGTGGCTTTCGTTATCGCTGCGTGGTGTGTGTGGTTTCAGGTTTTGGCATCTCCTTGGGCGGGCTGGCGTCGGTGTGTCTTGGATCTGCTTGGGGGTGGGGTCTTTTTGGCCGTGTTCCATGGGTACTTTCTCTTGGGATCCAGGTGTGTTGTGGTGTCTTGCTTTTGTTTGGTGTTGTTGGCTTTCTGCCGGACTCTGCGCGTTCTCTTCTCCGTCTTGTGCGTTTTGTCTAGGCGCGGGCTCCGTGTGTGTGTTTCCTTGGGGGTGTGTCTGCGGGTTCACTCGAATCGGCTTTTACCGCGGTGTTGTGTCAGCTTTTTTACGGTCGGGGGAGAGTGGTGGCTTCCTTCCTTTGCCTGTTTGTTCTGTTTTTTTGTGGTGTTTTAGTGTTGGTGGGTGTCGTTTGTTTTCCGATTGTTTGAATTCTTGTGTGTTTCTCTTTGTATTGCTGTCCGGAGTCTGTCTCGTCTTGTTGGCGTGAGTGTGGTACGCGTGTTTGTGTCCTGTAATTTGTTCGGTGTTCTTGTTGGGTTGTTAGCGGTGTTTAGTCGTGTGATATTTGGTCTGTCTTCTTGTTTTCTCAGTTCTCTCTTTTTTGGGTGGCTGTAAGCCTTGCTGCCTTCCTCTAGCTCGTTTGTACTTTTCTCTTGGTTTGGATTCGCTTACTCTTTTTGTGGTAGCTTCCGTTTCGGGCTCCGTTGGATTCTTCTTTACGTGGCTGTCCTGCTCGTGCCTCTCCGGCCGTTTGGGTCGTTTGCCGTCCATTGCTCTCTCTTTCTTTGCGCTATGTCCCGTGTCTAGCGGTTTCGGGTTTGCTTGTTTTGGGCTTGGGGGGCTTTTTTATTGTCGCTCTTTGCGCTGGGGTTTTGCATCGTTGGTTCCGTCTTCCTTGCTCCTTTTTGGTAGCTTTCTTTTGCGTTGTTTGATTCTGTTTGTTTGTGTTCTTGTGTTTTCTTTTGCGGTCTTTTTTTCTTCCTTCATGGCTATTGTTGTAAGTTCCTTTGGCTTCCTGGGGAGGTATTTGTGGTGTGTTTCTTTGTCTTTGGTGGCTTTGTGGTTCCGAGGTGCTCTCCCTGGCTGTCGGTTTGTGAGTATTGGGTCTCGCAGCCGCTTGGGGGTTGGTGGTTTCTTTAGCCTGTTAGTGTTTAGGCTTTCTCTTGGTGTTTGCCTTTATTGGCGAGATTTTCGTGAGCCGGGTGCTCTTGTTTTCGCTGATGTATCCGTTGTCTTTTTTGGCGGCTTGGCTTTCCTGGATGCCGGCTGGAGTTTGTTCTTGATTTTTGGCTTGGTCTGGTATTGCTTTTTTGTTGCATTTGTTGTCTTTTTCTTTTGCTTGGGTTCTTTTTTCTTTGGGTAAGTGGCTGTTTTTTCTTTTTCTTTGGCGGTTTTGTCTTCATCTGGCTCTTTTCTTTTTGCTTTTGCAGCTGCTTCGCGCGCCGTCGGTGCGGTTTCGGCCTGTTTTGGCGTTGGTGTCTTTGTGTTTTGCCGGGGTGGTTGTGGTGCTGATTTGGATGCGGCTTCGCGGTGCGATTCTGTGCGTGTTGAGGTGGTGTATTTTTGGCGTTCCTGATTGGTTTTGTCCTTGACTGGTCTGAGTGTTGGGGTGGTTTTTTTTTTTGTATGTGGGGTTTTTGTGTGTTGGGACTTGGTGGTGTTTTGTAGGTTATTGATGGTGTGTTTTGCTGGTTTGTAATGATTTTATTCTTGGTTTGCGTTGTTTCTGAGCGTGTATTGTATTTTGGGATTATCTTAGGTAATTTTTTGAGGGTTCGTTTTGTTCTTTTTGTTGGTTATCGTTCGGGTTGTCTTGAAGCAGCTGTTTGTATTGTTTTTTGTTGTCTTGGCTCGTATGTTTTTTATCCGGGGCTTATGTTTTTCCCGGTCCGTTGACCTGCCATTTGGGTGTCGCGTTGTGTTTGTTGTTTCCGGATTGGCTTTTCACTTATTGTGTTTCTGGGCTGTGCTAGCTTCTTGCGTTTTTTGGCTTGTCTTCCGATTCGTGTGTTGGTTGTGGACCCGGTGGTGCCTCCTGTTGTAGTTCGTTTCGTTTTGAGCTAGGTGGCTGAGGCGGCCTGCGCCGTGTTGGTTTGGGTTGTGGTTCTTTGAGTGATGTTAGGCAGTATCTGGAGTTGGTCGCTTGTGGTTCGTCGTTTCCAGTTTTTTTTAGTGTGTTTGTCTCTCTGCTTTGGGGCCTTCTTTGTTTCCACCATGCTCTTTCATGGGTGCCTCTTACCGGTGGTTGGGTTGCGCCTTCTGTGGGGTTGGGGCTGTGCAGAGCGGGGCTCCATGCTGTGCTGTTTCGTTATTGTGGCTTGGTCCTGGGTCAGTTGTGTCGGGGCTGTTATGAGGCCGGTGTTTGTGTGCCTCGTTCCTCCTGCTTTTTGGGTTCTTGTGTGGGTTATTTCAGTGGATGTTCTTTTCCCTTTCTCTATTCTCTCTGTTTATCTTGTGTGGGCGTTTAGACCCCCTTGTACACGAATGACGTCCTCTTATGGGGCTCGGTAGTGGGGGGCCCGCTTTTGTGCCGTCATTGCTTGGCTTTGATCTCTGTGTATTCGTATCTGTGTTCTTTCCGAGTCCCTGTTTTTTCTGGTGAAATTCGCTTTGATTTTCTGTGTTGGTCGGTTTTGGGGCCACGCTTCCCGTCTGGTGTATCTCATGTCATCTTTGAGGGCCCGATTTGTCGCATTTGTTTTCGGTGTTCTTGGGGGGCTGCTGGAGGGCGTGATCTTTCGCTAGGGTTGCCTTTGCGTCGGTGGTGCGTTTGTTTCTCGCGGGGTTGGTTTCTGGTTTGAGTTGCTGTTGGCGGTCGGAGCTGATATCTGGGCGCTGTGGATGGTGGGGTAGTTGGTGGGTGTTGTTGTGGCTGGTTTTGCGCTTGGGTTGTTGTTTTCTTGGGGGTGGCTCGATGTTGTTGTTCCCGTGATTTTGCCTGTGTTTTCTTTGCCGCATGTCGGCGTTCTGCGCTTCCAGTTGGGAGCGTGTGGATTTGTGTGGGACGCTGTGGGGTGTCTGACCGTTTCTATATCGGGCCTTGTCTTGTTTATGTTCGAGCCGTTTCTCGGTTCTTTTCGTTGGCTGGTTCGCTTTCTCGGCTACCGGGCTCGTGTGTTGGTCCACGTCGTTGATCTGTTCGGGCGGCTTCCCGTGTTTGGGGGGTTTGTGATGGCCCGGTTGGCCATATACTGTATTCTGGCTATTTTGACGCTTTGTTCGTTCGGTGCCCGGTCGTCTGTGCTCTTCACTTTCGTTAGGGGTTATGGTCCGTTGGTGTTGGTCTCTGTTAGGCCTCTTGTATCTTGCGACATGATGTGTGCAGCCTCACTTTGTCTTGTTCGGCAGTCCCCGGTGCACCTGGTGATATTTTTTCCGGATGCTTGCTTGGAGCTTCTTTTTGGCGTGATGCTATTGGTCGTCTTTTGCGTCTTGCTCGTGCAGTGCGGCATCTCGATCGTGCGCTGCTAGGGTTTTGTTGTTCTTGGTGACGGTGTTCTCCTGGGCTCCGTCTTCGGGTGCTGGTTCGTCCTGGTTGTGGTCTGTGGCGTGCATTCCGCGGTTGGCGAGGCTTTGGGGGATGCATGCTGTTGTGACGCTGCTGGCTTCCTGGCCGAGTTGCTGGTCTTCGGGCTCCAATTTGCGTTCGTGCGGAGTGTGAGGTCTCTCGGTCTCCGGTTCGCTGTGCTCCTCTGGGTTGACGGGGCTTTGTGCGGCTGTGATTCGCTCCTTGGTTGCGCGTGCTGGGGACCTTACTTGTTCGTAGCCCTTGTTTTGCGCCTGGCTCTATTGGCGTTGCTGGAGTCTCTGAACTCGGTGTTCTTTGGAAAGCGCGCTTTTTGCCTCCGGAATTTGCGGGTCGTCGCTGTGGTGTTTTTTTTCCGTATGTCCACTGGGGGGTTTGGTGCGTGTACGGTTGTGATTCAGTTGTGGTTTGTTGGCGTTTTTTGGGTTTGGTAGTTGCCGGGCGTATCTAGTTGGCTTGTTCTGCCGTGTGCTGCCGTTGTGTCCCCAGTTGCTTGTCTTTTTGCTCTGCTTTCACTCGCTCGCTTTATTGTACTCCGTGCTGCTGTCTGTAGCAGTAGGGGCATTTTTCGGGGCTACAGCGCCTCTTGCTTGTTCTTGTGCCTGTCTCTGTCTTAGCTGTTCCTGGTCGCTGCTCTGTGCGAGTAGATGTTTTTGCTCCTCCGGCTGTGGTGTTGTGGTCTGTTCGGTGTCGAGCCTGGGGTTCCCCATGTATCTGCACTTTTCCGCGCTCCTTCCTCGACGCATCCTGGTTTGTCACTGGCGTCCGTCCCGAGCGCAGCGTCTCTTTCTTGGTCGGTCTGCTTTGGGCCTTTTGGTTGATCTTTTGCTGCTTGAGCTAGTTTAGGTTGCCGTTCTGCTTCGGTTTTCCGTTCGGCCCCCACATCTGAGCCCCTTTTGGGTTTTAGCGGCTGCGTTACCCTCTATTCTTTTGGTTAGTGTTGCGTGGTGCTGTTTCATGGCATGTGAGTCTTGTTGTAGCCCCGGCCGGAGGGCGTGTGGGCCCGTGGCAGTGGCTTGGTGATGCTTTTGCTGACTTGAAGTACTACCCGGTGATCGGCCCTGTTGTGTTTTGGGGTATCTGGTGTTCTTTTCCGCCTGCTTGTTCCTATCGCAGGTCTGCAAGGGATGGGAGTGCCTTGGGGGCCGGCTGTGGGGCTGGCCCTCTTTTTGTTCTTTTTTTTTCTTTTTGGGTTCCTTGTGGCGTGTTTTTTTTTTTTTGTTTGTTTGTTTTCTTACTTTTGTGTGGGCTTGTATCGGTGTCTTTTCTTGTAGTCTTAGAGGGGCCTGGGGAGTGGGAGGGGTTGCTCGCGTCAGTATTTTCGTGTTGCCGCGTTTGCGCTTTCTTTCGGATTTTGTTTGAGTTTATTGTGGATTTTATTTTGGTTTCTTGTGTGGTTTGGGGGATAGTTCTTGGATTTGCGTTATTGGGGTGTTCTTTTGGCTTGTGTAAGTTTTGTTGCCGTTTGGGGGTTGTGGTTTCGTGTTGTGGTGGGTTGATTTTGGGTTATGGCTGTCTTTTTGTGGCCTGGGTTGGGTTGCGTTGTTAGGGGGTGTTTGGTTTGGGTGTTGTGTTTTCTTTTGTTGGGTAGTTGTTTGTGTGGTGTTTGTGTGTGCTGGTTTTTTTGGTTGGTCTGTTTGTTTGTTTGAGTTGGTTGTTGTTGGTGGGTCCTTGCTTGTTTGTTTTCTCGTTGTTTTGTCTAGGGGTGTTAGGGGGGGTGAGGGGGGTTGTGTGCATTTTTTGGTTGTTTTTGTTTTGGGGTTCTGGCCGTTTCTTGCTATTTGTTTTCTCCTGTTTTTCTTTGTTGTTGTAGGGTGCCGTAGGTCGTCGTTTTTGTGGTTTTGTTCGTCGCTTTGGTTACTGTTTTGTTGGCGATGGTGTATTCGTCTGTGTGCTTCGAAGATAGGTATCTTTGTTGCATTGTTTGCCTTGATGTCTCGGTGCTATTGTTTTGCTTGTTCAGTTTGTTAGGCCTGTAGATGCACGGGGGCTGTTTCATCCGCCTTTTTTTGGTATAACGGCGTTCAGTTGGGCCGATGTGGGGTTTCTGGCTCCCATTCTGAGTCGCTGTGGTTCACGGCGGCCGACGCGTGTTTCTTGTTTTTGGCTTTTTGTCGGTTTTTGGCGAATTTGACCGCGTCTCGTCTGTGCTTGCAAGTTTTCTTGGGTGGATTGGGTGGGGTGGTGCTCTTCTGGTTCGTCTCTTTTTTGACCGAGTTTGGGGGCCTTTCGTCGTCCCTGGTGTCGTTGCAGTTTTTGGTTCTCCTAGTGTCTGCCTGGTGTGTATGGGCCACCATGTCTGCCGTGTTGGTGGGTTTGTTATTGTGTTGGGTGTTTTTGCGCCGTTGTCGCACTAGGGGCGTGGCGGCCTGGTATGTGCCGAGTTGTGTCTTTTGATCGTGGATGGTGTTGAGGTCCTTGCCGGTGGCTTTTTTTTGCATCGCCTCGTGGGATGCTTGGGGAGTTCCCTTGGGCATGGGGTCCTGCTCGTTGTGTGTTGGCTCTAGCTGTTCGTTTTGGGAGTTATGCCCTGGGGGTCGGTGGTTCGCGTAGTCTTATTGGGTGTTTAGGTTGCCTTTCTTGGGCGTTGGTACGTGGAGGGTGCTGTGCTGGTCGCCGGTTTTGTTCTTGGTTTGTGCATTGCCCGTGATGGCCTTTATCTTCGTGTTGTCGCAGTTTCGGTGCCGGGTGTTGTTGTCTTCTTCGTGGGTGGACTTCCGGCGTGGTTTCTTGTTGTGTGTGGTTTTGATGATGTGTGCCGGGGTGCTGATCTCCTTAAGTTTGTCTGGTTGAGCTGTAATCCTGGCTTTGTGCCCCTGACCAGCGGCGGCTCGGACGTTGTGGTTGCTCTCGGCCCTTTGGCTCTTCGGGGTCTGGTTGCGGATGTTTTGGCCGTGGGAGAGTTTGTTGTCAGTCTGTGTTCTGCGTTGCTCGCCTCTTTCTTCTTTTGTCTTGCGTTGTGGGTTTGTGATGAATGTGTTTGTGGTGGACTGGTTGTCAGGCGGTGTGCTTCCATTTTTTATCGTGCCCCGCTATCCACGGGTATCGGTTGTCGCTGCCTTCAGTTTGATGGGGTTCGGGTTCTCTTCATTGATATGGTTGTGTTGTTTGGTTGCTTGGGGGTTATTCTTGGCTTCTGTGGTCCGTGGTCGGTGAATGTCGAGGGTCCGGGCGGTGTCGTCTGTCTTGGTGCGGGTGTTCTTTGTGATAGGTGGTTCGTTTGGATGGGGGGCTTTTTCGGCGTCGTTCTTTTTTTGTGTGTTTTGGTTTGCCGCTTGGAGTTCCTTGGTTTTCTCCTGGGAAGTGGTCTGTGTCCTCTGTTGTTTAGTGGGTCCTTTGGCTTTGTGAGGGTGGTAGAGTTCGGGCTGGGGTGCGTGCAGGCTCGACCCCGTTCTTCCGCGTTGGGTATCATGTCTGTTTGCTGTTTTGGTTGTGGCTAGTTCTCGGGTTGGCTTTGGGGCTGGTTTTCTTGTTTGGGTTGGATCTTTTGTGTTCCCGCGTATTCCCTCGTCTTGGTCTTTTCTTCCGTTCCTCGCCTCGGCTTTGTGTGTGTTTTCAGTGGGGTCGTCTTTGGGCTTAGGTGTGTTTGATTTGACCTTGAGGCCATCTCGACTCTGTTTGTGTCGAGGGAATGCACGTCGATTGGCGTTGTAGGGTTGTGCTCTGGTTCGGCGTTTTGCTTCTCTGTAGACTTTTGTTCCGTGCGGCTTTGTGTCTGTTCCGTTTTTACGCGTCGTCTGAGGAAGTATTCTCTATTAGATCGCGGCTGTTACTTCTGTTCTGTCTGCCGTTGTTTGATTGTTTTTTGGTGCGCTCGCTTGGCCTGCTTTTGTGTGCTATTGTGGTTCTTGTGTTGTTTTATCGTGGTCTCCGTGCTAGTTTTGGCGGACGCCTCGCCTTTTTTCGTTTGTGTGTTTTGGCCGGTGGGGCCTTTCTTGAGCGTTTCTGGTCCCCCAGTTCCTCTTTCTCCTTGGTTCCCTTGTTTTTTTTCTTTCATTTTCGTTTGCCTTTTCTGGTTTTTCGCTTCTCCCTTTCTTGCGTGGTTCTTCTATCGTTGTTTTGTTCCTGTTTGTTTATTGTTTCCTGGTCTTGGTGTTTTTGATCACTTCGTTTCATGTCGTCGTCCATCTATATCGAAGGAGCCTGTTTGCGGTAGTTGGTGGTGGCGCGTTCTTCCATTGTGTTTCTCTCGGGTTACGTGTTACGGTGCGAGGCCGGCCGTGGGCGTGACTTTTTCTGTCGGGGCGGTGCCGTTGGTGATAGAGAAGTTGTGATTTGGCGCATGGTGGGTGGGTTGGAATGTGTGATTGTGCCTTGCTCGGCGTGTGTCGTTGATTACGACTCGGGTGCATTTGACTCTTTCTGCGAAAGTGAGTATTGGGGACTTGGGTTCTTTGCTCCCGTTCGGGTCCTGATATCTTGGGCCGGCATTGTCTTTGGTGGAGCTCAGCCGGTAGTGTTTCTTGGGGCGCGGGGGCCGGTTTGCGTTCATTTGCGGTAGTGGTTCTGTTACATTTTCCTCTGCTCCGCAGTCGTCATAGATCCTGGAGGTTTTTTCTACTATCGTCTTGTTTGCTATTCCGTTGTTGATCGTCTCTCTCGCTGGTGTTTAGGCCCTATTGTTTCCTTTTCTCGGTCTTTGTGCCGTTTGTATGCCCAGGAGGCGTCTGGTCGTGCCGTCTTCATGGTGTCCATTGGTGCCTCCTTTTGGGCTTACTTTGCTGGTCTTCTTCATTGTCGCCTTCTGGCGGCGTGTGTGTTATTGGGTGTCTGTGCGGTAGACCTGCTTGGCAGTGATGGCGGGGAGGGGGGGGAAGAAGTGTGGGATGGTGTGGGTCGCGTGTGCAGGGATGTCGGTTCGTGTGTTCTGGTGGTTGTTTCGTCAGGGGCCGTTTTGCGCGTTGGATCGTGGTTGGGTGTTACTTTCCGAGCTTGCTCTTTTTCGATTGGTTATGGCGTTATCTTTTGCTTGTGCCATGTGCGTTCCCATCCTCGCCTGCTGCTTAGCGTTGGCCGTCGTTGCCTCCGCCGCGGCTGTTGCTGCTTCCCTTCCTGCGTCATGCGTCTTGGGGTGCTTGGTGTTTGTGCTGTTGTGGTTGCGGTCTCCGTGGCGTTGTCTGTGTGTTTGTCGTATTCGCACTACGATCGTGGACGGCGCTTAGTGGCTGGGCGTGGCTTGAGTTGGCGCATCTGGCTTTGGGGTAGCCTTGGAGCTGTGCTTGGCTTTTGGCACTTCGGGCTGGTTGTGGGCGTGGTTGTCCTGGGTTGTGTTTGTGTAGGGGGTCTGGTGGCGTCGTGATTCGGTTGTTTGCTTTTCTGTGGTGGGGTGTCTGGATCCTTCTGTGCTTTGCGGCAGGGCGTCCGTGTGTTTGTCGTTGGACTTGTTTCTTTAGCGGTAGTGGGTGTGTGTGTTCCGAATGAGGGATGGAATGGTGGGGCGGGGTTTGGAGGTCGGGGTCGTTGCGTGTGTATGTGGCGGATCCGTGTTGCTTCGTTTTTGTACGCTGATCTCTCGATGGATTCATCTTTTTTGGTTGATTCCTGTGTTCATTCATTCGATTGCGGCTTACCTCTTAATTACTCTGGTCGGGCAGTGAGCGCTCTTTGGTTTTATTCCGTGGGTTTTTGTCCTGTTGTCTTCGGTGCTGCGGGGTTCGGCTGTTCCCGGGATGGATCTGTCTGTCTCCGTCGGTGTTGCAGTGTGTGCCGGGGCGTTGGTTTCCGTCTCGTCTCGTCGGCTTCGGATTGGGGCAGCCGTGGCCGTTGTCTTAGCCGTCTCGGGTCGCTTCGCGGGCGTTCTTGGGTGTTCGCCGCTGCTGGTTTGGGTTCCATTTGGGTTGTGTGTGCGGGGCTTCCTCTTTGGCATGTGGCCGCTCGCGCTTGCGCTGGTAGGGACAGAGTTGGTCGGGTTCCTGCTTGTTTGTGTGTCGTACACGGGCGGTGGTTCCTGGCTGAGGGTTTTGTGTTCGGGTGCGTTGGGTGTGCTTGCCGTTCGGGCTTTTGGCTTTCGTCGAATTTTGCCTTGTTTTATCTGGTCCCGTCTTCCGCTGCGCGTGGGCGAGTTGATTTTTTGTCTTGTTCTGCCTGCGGGAGCTACTTTCCTCCGGGTCCGGCGGGGTTGGTCCGTCGAGACCCGGTCCCTTTTTGGTGTGGTGGCTTTTCGCGTTGTCGTTGTGCTTTGCCGCCCCGGTGTTAGTGGTCTTCGTTTTGCCGTGTGCCGGGCGTTTCGGTTCCGTGTGCTCGTCGGGCCGTTGATGTTGTTGTTGTCTCGGTTTTTTTCCAGGTTGTTGTCCATGCCCTTGTTTTTGTTGGTGGGTTGGGGTGGTCTGTTTGTAGTTGTGTTGTTGGTGGGCGTTTCGCTTAGTTTTAGATGTCCCGTCGCGGGTTGGTGCTGGTCGTGGTCGGCGGCTTCGCTCGCGTGCTGGCTGGGAGCGTTTTGTGGCAGGGTTTGTTGTGTTTGATCTTGATTGGGGGCCTGAACGTTTGATTGTTTTTGTGTATGGGTTGGTTTCTTTCGGTTGTTCTGTTGTGTCATTGCATGTTTTCCGTCGTGGCCTTCCTCGGGCTCGTGGAGCCTTTTCGTCGGATGCGTAGTCTTTCTAGCCATGTGGTGCTGGTTGTTCTGGGTCATATGTTGAGCTGGGTTTTGCGACGTCGTCTGATTTTGATTCTGGTATTGCTCTGCCAGGGTGGTTTGTGTTGTCTTGCTGTCTTCTTCGACTGGCGTCGGATGGTTGTGTGGTCTGTGGTGTTTCTGAGGTCTTGGGGTTATTTGTTCGGGTTTTTGTGTCATCGTTGTGTTGTTTGTCAGGTTTTTTTTTTTCGTTGTTTGTGCCGCTTGTGTTTGTGGTCCGTCGTCTTGTTGATTAGTGGTCTGCTTTGACCCGTTTGTTTTTGCGCTATTCTCCCGCTTTGGCGTCTTCATGTGTTTATTACCTGGTTCTGTCTTGTCAATTTGGGTTGTTTTATGTCTCGTTTCATTGGTGGTTCTGGGTTTCGGGGTTTCGGTCTCGCTGTTTTTTTTGCTGGTCCTGTTGCGGGGGCTTTTTGGGTTTCTTTGTGGGTCTGTGCGTTCCTGCGTTTGTGGCGTGTGTGTTTTGCTGTCGAGGGAGTTGTCCTTCTTATCCTGTTTCGGTCTGCTTACCTTCCTAGCGGGGCGGTATATTTTAGCCCCTCCAATCGAGAGTTCAGGTTTTCTGTAATTCCCTGTCTCTCTCATTGTGGCGGGAGGTTCTGTCCTTCTTTGAGTTTTGGTCTTGGGTGTCTCTTGGCGTTTGGTTTTTGCTCTGTTCGTTGTCGTGTAGGGAAGTTGCGGCGTGTGGTCGTTCGCCGGTTTTCTGCAAGTCTGCGTGGTTACCGAGGGCTGCTCGGTGCTCGAGCTTGTTTCGTTTTAGCTTGCATTGGGGCTCGTGCTCTTGGTGGTGTCGTTTTCTGCTTTTTCGGTTGTTGTTGTTGGTTCCGTTTCTTTCTTCGTTGTTTTTTTTTTTTTTGTTTGTTTTTTTCTTTTTTTTTTTCGTTTTTCGGTGCTTGTTGCCTTTGTCGGTTGCTACGTTCGTGGTTGTGCGTTGGAGTTGTTTTATTTGTCGTCTCTGTCTAGTGTTTTTGTGGTCCATAGGGATGTTGTCTAGCGAACTTTCGGTTCCCCGCGTGTATGGGCGGTTGTGGTTTTTTTCTTCCATCGTTTGTCTCGTTGCTTTTGTGAGCCTTCAGCTTTTGGTTATTCAGTTGTTTTGAGTTCTTCACTGCTGTTTTTTGCTCCTTTCGGATTCTTACTGTTGCATGCTTTTTTTGTTGCGTTTGTCTGCGTCGTTTGTGATCCTTATGCTAGTCATGTTCGTGTTAATCGTCTTCTTGTTCATGTCTGTCTCGTTTGTCTTTTCCTCTTTTGCTAGCTTGTTCGTTCTGGGTTTTCTGGGTCTGTCTGCTGTGTGTTTTTTTTTTCTTTTTGTTTCTTTCTGTTTTTTTTTTTTTTTTTTTTTTTTTTTTTTTTTTTTTTGTTTTTTTTTTTTTTTTTTTTTTTTTTTTTTTTTTTTTTTTTTTTTTTTTTTTTTTTTTTTTTTTTTTTTTTTTTTTTTTTTTTTTTTTTTTTGATCTGGAAAAGTGATGATTTCCCAACGGCATGGAGAAGCACCAACTTCAAGACAACAGCGGCTGCGAGAAGGGGGGAAGGAGGGACTTCAGGGACCAGCACGATGTACCGCATACTGCCAACATGGGCGTCAAACCACGTTTTGCCATGGCGCTGAGTGGCTGCAAAGAGAGAGAATCAAGGTTCGAGACCCAAATCAGGAGTCCAAGCCTCCTATACGCGCCAGGGTGAAACATGGCAACACTGTCCCAAACAGAATGCACGTAGCTGATGGACGCGGTTCTTCAGAAGGCCTGTCGCTTTGCATGATTGGATTTGGGGTGGACGATGGCGTTGAAATACGCGCCGTGTTGGCGCCGACTCTGCCGATAAGAACAGCACATGATGTCAGATTGAGCTGATCCGAGAGGTTCAAGGCGCAACAATTGAATTGGGTCAGTCTCCTTAACCGCGCACCTTCAGGTTGTTGTCGATCCGAAGACCCTGAGAGCAACCAGGCACAACTGAGATAGTGTAGATCCAGCCAGATGTGTGGACACTGGGCCGAAGGTGAAACGGCGGCTAGTAAACAGACGCATCACGGGACTTGTTGAATGGCCCGATCGGCACTCGTGTTTCCCCATACCCACTCGGCAGATTACAGGCTGCTTATGGCATAAGCAGCTACGATTCGAGCCCAGAATGTGGTTGATTAATAAGTTTGACATTGTCATCAATCATTAACCTGATCACTGCCAACTAAGAGAAAATGACAAAAGCAAAGCCCAGTGACACAGTGAGCTGGTATCATGCGCAATACATAAGAAAATAACAACCCAAGGAGATAAAAAAACAAGGAAATAAAAAAAAAAAAAAAAGGTACAATCGAGACCCTGTCACAAACACACGTCGCACTGAGCATGCTGCACATCCGCCCAATGACGGTGTTTATGTTGGCGGGGTTGCATTAGGCTAGACTCGTCGGGAGCCCGCGGAACAATACTAAGATGTTGACAACGTCACCCCGACCCGCTGGATTTTGAACATCCGATTCCGTGGGAGAGAAATCGTAGGCAGGACGAGGCTATTCCCCCTAATCGACGGGTTTTGAACCGACGTGGGTGGTAAGGAGGGGCCTGGAGAGCATTCTAGTATTTGAATATAATATAGCTGAACGGAAGGAGTTAGTGTCGGAATCTCCGGAAAACCATCACTTGGCAGACCACGTACAAGGCATGAATGACACCAGGAAGCCAACCCAGGATTGTCAAACAGATGTTGATCAGGAAATCAGCACCGCATCCTCGCTCAAGGAAGACACCCAACGGGGGCAAGATGATCGCAAAGATGATCTTGCAGATATCCCTATGATTCCAAGGACGTTAGCACACTCGAAACACTAAGCTCTCGTCATTCGAATAATTGCGATCGCAAGCTATCCCAAGACAGCTCCAGCTTGTCAAGGTCGAGTTATGCGCGCGTTTGGATAAGAAATCACCAAAAGATGACGTCGCGAGGGGGTAGCAAAACTTACGAGGCAGTGAAAGGCATTGTGAATGGAGGAAGACGTAGATCTCTTCAAATCGACAAGTTGGATGCAGGAGAGAGTAGTAGTGAGCAGGTGATGGAAATGACCAGATAGAAGCGGTATCTGAGTGCAAGTAGATGAATGATGGAGAGTAACAAGAAAAATCAGGAGAGGAAGGGAGCGGGACCACAGGGACTCTTAAATGATGGGCGGCAAAATTAAGTAGCTGCCCTCCGCCAAACGCTACTGGGGGATAGTGCTATGCCTCCTACGTAAAGCACAGTCCTTCGAATCCGCATTAATCAACGGATATGCCTTTAGGTAATAAAATAAAAGACCAATAGCTGCTAGCGATAATTATAATAACCGGGGCGGACGACAACGATAGTCAGGACGATCCTTTTCCGCTCGCCGTGCATGTCTACTGCTACGTCATACTTTTCAGTACGAACTGTGGCTGATGCCTTGGCTGCTTGCTGATTGGCTCCGAGCTCACCACGACCAGACTTCTCGGCGGGTGACTTTTGCGTCGTATCGACGTTTTGTACATTATTCAGTTCTTGTACCTCCCCCAGTCCCGTGGCTGATGCTCCTCCATTTCTGGAACTGAACCATGTTGTCATCGGGCGGTGCAACTGGATTTGTTCAACGGTAAGGGGAGAACTTTCGCTCTCTTCTTCTCCCCTTTCCTCCCCATCTCCTACCTTTTTTTGACTTTTCTACTACTTTTTTTTTTTTCTTTTTTCCTTTGTCATAATTATTCTGTTGCCTGGCAGGGGCTTGGCGCTTCCACCGTACCACCTTACCAGGCTGAGGCGAGGCGCCAGTAGTCTAACTTAGACGCCGCCAATATTGACTAAACCGCTCTGTGCAGATGGTTCTAAAAGTCTGGGCTCTTGGTTCTGGGTGGGACGTACCAGCACATCATACTCGATACCTACTGCTTCTATCGGACTAGGTCTGGGCCCCTACGCAATCCCTTGTTCAAAATAGGGGTATACTCCGTGTCTAGGAGGTTTTGGGAGACGGAAAAGCAGCATGGATTTGGTGGGCCATCCAGCCCTACGGTTCCTCTTGCACGAATCACGGTGCCGGTTAGCTTTCAACAATGTTCGGACGGATGCCGCGTCCCCATTACGGTACTCGACTTTGTAGGATTTAGACTAGCGTAGACTCATTTCCAGGGAAAAAACAAAGTGATATCATTTGACACGCATCTATCCGTCAGCGCCTACGCTAAATATGCAGATAATCACTGGATTAAAGCACGTTTCAGCCGGATTTTAGACGTCATGTGCTTGATAGTGAGATGTCTTATCGTTCGCATGTCGCCAATACATCATTACCAGTTAATCGGCCTGGCATGATGATTTTGACATAACGTATGCCCAAATTGTATACTTTCTACGAGGATCTTGTTGATCATGACGGAGGCATCCCAATATGCCATACGATGAGCGAAAAAGACTTCCTGACTAATACAGTAAAAAAAAAAAAAGATCAATCTGCCTGTTGAGACGACGCAGTATCATGTGATTGGCATCGCCGCAGTCCAAGCCACACTGAGTCGTTGCTACCTTCTAGAACAGAACATCCTGGCCACCCCGCAAATTTCAGCCAGCAGAGTAATAAAAACACTGCCTGGCTATGATGGTGGGTCTCTCCAGGCTATGCAATTCAAAGCTTATGATCAGCCCTATCTTGCAGAAGCATCTTGCCAGAGATATATTTAGATGGCCAAGTGACCCGCAAGGCGCAGTAATACTTTCCTGGCACCTGCAGATTCAACGTCTGCCTAGTTTTATCGAGTGCACAGTCAATTAAGGTATGTAGCCTAGTACTAGCATGGATAGTATTAGGACCATACTATATTGGAGTACATCAAACCCACTGTATGCTCTGTTGGTCAATTGGATACTCTTCCTAGGGGCACTAGAAACCATGTCTTTAGACTCTTCAGCCAATAGTGCCAACTTCTTGTCAGATACGATGCAGTTGAATGATGAAATACCGTCTCCCTCATACATGATATAAATGCGTTGCAAGCAAGCAGATGGAAATCATGAAACAACGCGCAGATAAGCCTACAATATTCCTATTGCCTCTGTGGCTGTTCGTGATGATATGATGTTCCGATTGTTGACATCGTAGAAGCAGAAAGCCGATCATTACCGCAATCACCAGGAAGGACATCATGTTCAAGAAACGAAGGTATGCCTCTTAGAGGTGAACCAAGCTAGAAAATGTAAGGAAAACATGATCAAAAAGTACTGGGGAAGATACTATATATGGAGAGACAATACACTTAGATATATGGTTTTATAAGCTAACCTATTACAAAGATAGGTAGAATATGTTAGCTCGATTGATATGAGTATCTATAGTCTAGATCTAGCTATCTGTCATGTCTACCTGTGAAATAGATAGTAGTACGTAAGTAACCTTATGAATAGAATTCAAGAAAATCATCACCAAAGACTGACCCTGTCTCTGATGAGCCAGGGACACTAGTAGTACTACAATGGATAGCTAATGCCCATATGGGCGACTAAAGGATTGAGAAGTTCAATGTTGGAGGTAGGGATCTCCGTTTATGATCCAAAATATCACGGCTTGGCAGCTACTCCCGCAGTCTCCGCATTTCCCCATCACTGTCTCGTTATCTTCTTAATACTTCCAGCCAACCTGAGCATGGCGCACCTGCCGTATAAGCCACTTTAAATAAACATAAGATTTTGTAATTTACATTCATATATAAAATGCATCCAGTCGCCGTCTTCATCAAGTTATTGTTCTATCAGGACCATCGGACGGTGATTCGTAATCCAGTTATCACTCGAGCGGAGACCTCCGATGTCCTCAAAACACAATGCTAAGTGTGATGGCTCTCAATACAATAGAAAACATAGTTTATAGTGTCTAACTCAAGTCGTAGATATAATATATCTACATCAAGCTGTATCTGTTTCACGACTGTTGCTTCATCACACTACTGACTGGGTGGGGAAGCTGGTTATCGTGATGCGCGGCCGACGGGACAGCGCCAAGCCGCCATCACGTGATGACGCAGGTGGTCGGTCAGCCTCCCCGAAGCCTCCAGCGTGTTCGCCTTCACACCTTCATCTCCGTTTCGCTCCCCCAAGCCTCAACATCACCACATCGCTTTACACGCGGCCTGTCCCTGCCCTGTCACTCTTCCTTTCGGCTGTTTTCATAGTTTCACTCCATCTTCTATAGCCCGCAAGGTCGCCTAATCTGTCAAGATGGCCACCGAACTTTGGTACGTAATCACCTCACCTACTCCTTTTCCCAGCATTCCAACCATTGTGCACTCTTGTATTTCGCTTTCGATCATGCCTCGGATGAGTTTCGACTGGATATACTGACATGTGGACATGATAGCCCCGTTTACGCAGTAAGTCACTTGTGATCCCACCCTCGCCGATGACACCATCGAGCTCCAAGCGACCCTCAAGGTAGCTTGGCTTCGTTGCATCAACCGGAGAATCCGCCATCAAACTGGCACCTCTCGCACAGATAACTGATTTCCTATTCGTATAGCCCTTCTTCGGTGCCCTTGGCTGCACCTCAGCCATCGTCTTCACCTGCTTCGGAGCTGCCTATGGAACTGCCAAGGCTGGTGTCGGTGTCTGTGGAATGGCCGTCCTCAGACCTGACCTGATCGTCAAGAGTACGTGGAAGCTTCACAGAGCTCTTATACCTCTGGGATAAGCTATCGCATATAATATCTGATGATTAATACTAATTTGGTGATACAGACATTGTCCCCATTGTCATGGCGGGTATCATCGGTATCTACGGTCTGGTCGTGTCGGTCCTGATTGCAAACGACTTGGGACAGAAGGTCCCCTTGTACACTGGTTTCATTCAGCTGGGAGCAGGTCTCGCCGTCGGTTTGGCTGGTATGGCAGCTGGGTAAGCTTCTCACCATGGCTCCTCTCAATATAAGTAGCTTTGGACTAACAGAATATCTCTAGTTTTGCCATTGGTATCGTTGGTGACGCAGGTGTTCGTGGAACTGCTCAACAGCCCCGTCTCTATGTCGGAATGATTTTGATTCTCATTTTCGCTGAAGTCTTGGGTGAGTCACTACCATCAAAGCGACACAACCAGTTCGCATCATCTAACCACGACGCCTCACAGGTCTGTACGGTCTTATCGTTGCTCTTCTGATGAACTCCCGTTCGAGGATCGACGCCACCTGCTAAACGAACCCTCCTTCGTTCCGCGCGAAATGGCCCAAGTGAACACCCGCCCGAGGATGCCAATCACCCACTATCCTCGGATACGACGAAAAGAGCCCGGGTTGCTCAACATGTGTTAACGTGATGCGGTTATTTTGACTTATGTTTTCAGACTTTATTTGCCGACAATGACGGTTCCCGTCATTGTCCCGATGACAGCTGGGGGGATGTGGAGGAAGTGGATTGCTAGCGGATTGGAAAGAGAAAACGGACGTTGAATAAACATATGCTTTCTCTTTCATCCAACACTCCCCGAAATAACAAAGGACAAGACATAATTGAATGTGCTAGCTAAGTTTGTAGACTAGGACAGGGTGGGAAGCTGTGGTAGATACATTGCATGGTTTTTTTTCAAGGTCTTTTGAACTTTTGTACTTTATGGGTGTCGCTTTACTCTTTTGTATCCTTGAGCTGGATCATAGGATTACTTGCTTTGCAATGCTTATATGTTTTCTCCTGCTAGTTTATGGTCCTATGTTACAAACTTAGCTTTATCTATTCTGATCCTTCGGTATATCATGAATGCAACAAGTGGCGAACGTGCGATTACTTAATTTTATGTTTACGACCTCTTACATTGTTATAATTCTGAAGACACAAAAGACACTGAATCAAGTCCAGCGCCTTTCTATCCAAAGGAACCGAACTCAAGCAATATAGATACCATTGCACCTGACCTGCACAAGAGCAAGCAGGGCAGATTGATAAGATAGCAATATGTAACATACAAAGTACTGTCTATTGAGCGGAATCAAATGCGGTGGGACATCCAAATGTTCAAGAGAAAAGAGGCGAAAGAAACAAGACGACGCCGTAAGGATATATGCGATATAGGCAGGCATATCAGTAGCCGCCGCCAAACACACACACATACATGCGGAGAGCAAAGGAATAAACGCAGAGCTTCAGATGCGTAAGTCTAGGGATGACTTCTCTGTGAAGCAGAGGCATTGGGGGGAGGTAAGGTTGTAAGTATGTAAATAGATAAGAGGAAGATGGATAACAAGAGGAAGGTTTATTCGGATTGTAGTGTAGCGAAAAGAGAATTATAGCTGCAAGCAAATGGTAATGGTCTCTGATGATTGAAGGAAGTCAATCAAGCCTTCTCAAGCTTCCGTCTCAGGGTCCTTGTCCTCTTGCGCAGCTTCTTCAGCTTGTGCTTCTTCATCTTCAGTCTGCGACGTCTCTTGGTGCTAATGGCGTGCATGGTGCGGTTGTTGCGGATACGCTCCATGTAGGTGGTGCCGGAGTTGTGGGGGACATCGATGATGGCCTCACTCTCTCCAATGGCACCGGGAGCTTCCATCTCACCGGAGGGCACGAAGGGACCAGTGTGAGCCTCGTAGGTCTTGCGACCATCGAAGTGTATCGACTCGTGGATGGTCAGGACGGTGGAGTAGCTGGAGGTCTCCCGGGGGACGTCCTCGAACTCGGAGGAAGCCATGTTCTTCGCTTCGTCGAAGGGAACGGGCGGCGGAGGGGGGTGGAAGGGACGGAGACGCTTGGTGAGTTCCTCGACGGAGACCTTCAAATCGGAAAGGTTCATGCCATCCAGCTGGTTGCCTTCCATGTCGAAGTACTGCAGAGAGCCCTCCTGCTCGCCGGAGTGGGCAGTGGAGTTCTCCATGGAGTTGACGGCGGAGGAGAGGGTGAAGATGACATCGTCCACCTCAGGCTTAGCCGGCTTCTTTGCGGTGAAGATGGCGTCGAAGGCTTCGGGAGTCGAGGTCGGAGGAACGGTGGTGGAAACGGAGATGGGTCGGTGGATGGAAAAGAAGGAGGCGACGTGAACGTCTAGACCGCAGGAAGAAAGATTAGCGCATCATAATCTAGGAGTACAAGAACGGTGGATAGGGATTGTGGCAACTAACCATGCGGCTGGAGGTGTTGGGTAGAGGGAACACTGGGAAGTCGGGAAAAAGCCGTCGGCTGCTTGGAGCCATTGCGGCCGTTGCTATCCTTGCCCCTCCGTCTGGAAGCCTTTCCCTCACGTTTCTCTGCAGAATTCACTCCCTTCGCAGGCGTCTGAGAGGAAGAATCGACTTTATTAGATCCATCGCTGGGTTTCGACGACGAAGAGGAGTATCGGCGTTGACGCACATGTTGTGACGAGCCGATGAGGCCGTTCGCGGAGGTAGTAATACTTTGGCTGGTTGCGCGAGATATGCCGGCGATGGGCCCCATAGGAGCCCATGCAGCCCGGCGCAGTGAGGACGACAGCATTTTCCGACGTCGTAAAGCCCAGAAGCTGGGTGACGATGTTGTCGGGAACGAAGAGGCGAAATCGAAGTTGGAGCCGATCATGCGGAACTCGGCGATTATGTAAGTCATCTGTCGCCTCAGGCATGAGACCAGATCAGGTGACCTTGAATTGCAGGACCTGTCTTAGGAGTTATCCTCGCCTGACTTTATCCACATGCCAACTCATGAATGGTGAAGATCATTATGCAGAATTACCTATTTTCGCTGATAGAAATGGATATCACCAGCGAGTCTATTGATTGTTTGGTGTTACATAGTACGTTGCAAGAATTATGACACTATTTTAATTTCGATTTGGGTATCTGTTCGTTCCATGCTCACTTGAGCCGAACAATTACAATAAGGACAGCTATACTTAGAAGACTCTGCATGATCGAATACAGAAGATACAGCTCCCAGTTAGAGCTGCCGGAAGTCACACGAGCAAATGATAGGGGAGGTGGGGGCTCATTATGTCAACAGAGAAGTAGAGAAGGAAAGATACATGGGAGGCGTCAAGGTCACAGAAAGGTTCAGCTCAGGAGAATGGAAAAAGAGCTCGTTAGGTGGGATGGAAAGCGCAGACATGGACGCAAACAACATATGGTATATGGTATCAATCTGCATTATATAAGAAATGCACCCGTCGCTGAACCGGAGAAAACATATAAGCTTTTGAAAGGAGTGAAAAGCCGAGACAATAAGTCCACAAGGAGAAGAAAACGTACAGGAAGAGAAGGGATATAGTGAAGTGAATAAAAATAGTTGGAGGAAAGCAAGCGTGCTTTTACCGCTTGGCGTGTGCAGGGGAAGAATGGAAGTTGAGCATCGCTGACGCCTCGTACTCGCTCGTAAAAATTCAAATCGTTCCAAATCTCACAACCTTATAGTATGAGGGTGTGGAGATTCTTTTGAATAATCATGTCTTGTACCGAATCCATTGTTGCCTTCAACAACGTCGTATCGGTAGCATTCGTGTAATGGATATAGATTTCTCGGTCGGGAATCCGGTTGATGCCCCGGAATCGGTCTGCAAAGTATCTGGCTGCTGCATCGAAGTCCGTGTTGGAGCCATTGTAGTCAGGGAAATGGTTGGAGACAGGCGAAACATGCAGCTTTCCCTTGAACAGATCGATTTTGTTCAGGAACAAGATGATCGGTTTGCGCTTGAACCATTCGCCATTGACCAAGGACTCGAACAGCATCATTGCCTCATGCATTTGGTTCTGCACGATGGGGAACAACGGTTAGCTCAAGTGCTTGAAGAAGGCGACAGGGGAAAACGTACGGCATTCTGGTCCTCAACGAGACATTGGTCGTAACCAGATAGGGCAACCATGAATAGAAGGCATTGAACACCCTCGAAACAGTGAATCCACTTCTTTCGCTCAGATCGCTGTCCACCGACGTCCATCATTCGGAAGTTCATTTGACCGAGTTCAAAGAGAGTTTCAGTAATTCCGGTTGTCCGCAAACGAGCCTGCAACATGTCCTGGTTGTCGGGAAGCCACCCAGGAGTGAATATTCGATCAAGCGAATCAAAGAAGCTGAAAGGTTAGACAGCTTGCCTGTTTGTTCAAAAAGAAGGTTCCTAGCACTCACTAATGCAAGTTATCATGAAGAGCAAACTCGTGGCCCCGAGCAACAGCTTTTTGAACACCTGTATCGTCCCACATGTCTCTGAGAGCGTCGCGGACCTTGAGATCTGAAAATGCCTCGTCTGAACCGACGTCTGGCTCAAGCTTGTCTACATATTCGGCTAACGGCTGATCAATGACGAACCGAATTAGCACACATACTGACACATATGGATCTCCGCTTGCGATGGAAAATCGCAAGACAATCGAGCAGATGAAATTACCTTTGTCTTTTCAAGCTGGAAATCAATGTTTTCGGCGCGCATGATATCCAGTAGAACTTTGAAGGCGATAACAAGATTCGAGTAGATCACAGCTCGTGTTTGGCGTCGTTCGTCCTCGGGGAAGCCGCCGGAATGTATGATTCGCATTTGTTTGATGATTGTCGACTTGCCCGATTCACCAGCACCTACAAAAATCAATGAATTAGTACTCCTCGTCTTCATGGTTGCGAATTAGAGGTGTTCTGTCTGGAAACTTACCAAGGAGGAGAATCTTGATCGTTCGGTCCATTACTTTCTTGTCATTTTTCAGAACCTTTTCTATCCTAGCGCTTCGTTGGACAGCGTCTTTATCCGCCGTGTCGACGGGTTTTGAACTCATGCAACCCATTTTGAAGATTGATGTGCTCTACTTCACAAAGCGACTTCCGATGGTGTCTGGAAATGAGTTAGTACTTGCTGATTATAGTGTGCGAAGTAACCAAGAATAGACGCAGCACAAGTAGAGTATGGCTGAATCAGGGATACGCCCAGACCCCGCAGTTAACCACACGGAAGGCTCTCTTTGAGACATGTGTGAAACGTCAACCAGAGAGACCCGAGGTCTCGAGCAATGAGAAAGAGGCGAGAAAGTAAATCAGCGAAACTTACTCCAGGCAGAATGTAATACCAAGCACTAGAACCAAGCCAGTGTATCTTTGACTAAACCCGCCCGAATGGCGCAAATTAGAACATGTCGCTAGCTTAAATAACGCCAGGTTGAACGTTACTCGGTCACTGTACGTACGTCGCGGTATTCCCTATTCCAAAGCAAGATGTCCTGGTAGGATGGAAGCCGAAGGTGTGATCCAATACGACTGTCGCAAGTAGTCCCCCGCTTTGTATGAGAGCGATATCCAACTTAATTGGCGAGCAGCGCAGCTGTCCGAAGCTTTCTGAAATCCGCGAGATATGGGATCGAATTAAGGAATGTGGCGACGAAGGTCCCTCGACAGGCTAGGTTGGGTGGTGGTTCAGACAGGTACTGAGGGAGACGGAGTCGATCGCGGAAGTGAGAGGCTTTCGGGAAGTTCGCACGACTTTCGAGATTGAAGTGCTGATGAACGGAGGATGTCTTCCAAATTAAATGCTGGGGAAGATTTCGCTAAATATGCTGACTGCAGCCTCGAGGCGTTCCCCTTTTCGTGGGTGGTGGGCGAAGATGCTGACCGCAGACGTTCAGGTGAGGGGAAAGATGGGAGGGAGGTAGAAATGGGGGAGGGAGATTAGTACATCTCCGCCGTATCGCAACCGAAGCAAGCAAAAGAGCGGAAGACCAGGGTGAAAAGCAAGATAAAGAAAGAGGAAGAGAAACAGAGAGAGGGAGCGAGAGAAAGAGGAGAGGAGAGGAGAGAGAGAAGGACAGTCTGGGAGACTCGCAGGTCTATAGTAGTAGTAATAATAATAGTAGTAGTAGTTTAGTTAGTTTAGCAGTGAGCAGAGGGAAGGAGGAGGAGTAAGTGGTGGGAATGTTGGTCGCGGAGTCGTCGCGCAATTCGTTCGATAATCCATCAAGTCCGATCGAAGTGGGCCACGGTGCCAGCAGAGTTGAGCTGCTAGTAAATTTAGTCCGGCTTAGTTCCCCTTCGGCGTAGTCATCCTGCTGGGGACCTTCGGCTGTGAGTGGCCCTGACACCGGGGCCTGTATTACCCGCGAAAACCGTGTGAAAGATTTCGGCGTCGCATTGGGCCCCGGTTCTGGGAATCTAGAAAGGGACTAGCCCGCTGTGGCTACCGTCCCCTAAGGGCCTTAGCCGTAAGCCCTTGGCTTCTTAGTCTTGTTTAGTTTCGTGATAGCATCCCGGCTGCGAGCTCCCTGTACAAAGTAGACGGCCTGGCCCTAATCTCACTGGTTGTAGACGAACAATGCTGACCCACCCCGGAACTCCATTCAACTGTGGATGAATGGCTCCATTCATTCTTCGTCCGCTCTTAGCCTGGTTCGAGCCGATTGGAAATGGAGTGCATTAAGGTCCAATGCTTCTTACCGCCCGTAAGCTACTAGTCAGTAATAATACCAAAACGATATTAGTACCCAGTATATACGTGGTTTAGTACGGAGCTCCCCGTATCCTCCATCATTCTCTGCAGCACCACAAACTGCCCAGCTGGGGAAACATCCAGCACTTGACCATTATCAGTCGGGATATTCAGCAGATAGATAGCCCAGCCAGTAGGTACGTACTTGTTCGAGTCAAGTTCCGGCCTCGCCGATGACCCGCAGGCCCATCGACAATGGATTGACCAAAGATCCTTCCTCTATGGGTCTTGGTGAAATTAATTCTCAATCAATCTGGATTTGAGATGGATTTTCCCTCAAAAATGCAGCATTACTCTCACTATCAGAGTACTAGCAATGCCTTCTCACGTCGCCATCATCCACGTGCCATATTACCTTACCCATCAATCCGGTTCCGACCGCGATCCTTTAATCTGGGTATATGAATCTATATGAACTCAATAAACGTTCAACCGCAAGGATCGTAGGCATTGGGAACTTAGTTTAGCCCCCAATCCCACGGTCGCTCGACATCAGCATCAGTTGCTTCGTACCATTGATTTCCAACGACTTACTCCTGGGCTATGAATGCATCCTTGTGATGTCTCCGACTCCGGGGGCGAATGAGACCCCGAGTCATGTTCCCACCGGTGCCCTTCTGCGGCTGCCAAGCCATGCAAGCGAACGACGACGCCACGAGGCACGAATCGGATGCATTGGTATGCACCGATCGACGAGTAGCATCTGCTTCTATGGACAGTGTTTTTGGTACGAAGTAAGTACTTTGTACGAAGTCCGAATGAAGCCTGCAAGCCCACCTTGATCGAATTGACTACTATTATTTGTTAGACCAGAGGGTAGAGGAACTATTGACAGTGTTATCGATGTTCGAGCTTCCGGGTCTTTAATCCGTCGGTCTATAGAGGACACTGGATGTACATCGCTCTTGGACCAGGAAGGAGTCGGGAAATTGAGTTGAACTAGTGCCTCGGGTTCTCATAGATCATCGCCATTCTTTGCGATCCATCACAAACAAAGGGAAACAGAGGGCTGAGCATTTGAACCTGCCTAAGCTTACTGTAGAACCTTATCTACGCCAGTGGCTTCTTTCCAAATTCGCCCAAATTCGCCAGCTACAATTTCGGTATCTTCCGTTGGTTTGTCATGACTCTGCGGCTGCGTTTCAGCAGACACTTGCTCCACAGCAATAATGTGATCTTCTTCCAAGTGTTGAAAAAGCATGCTTCTGCAATGGGGTCGAATTATTGAGCGATAGTTGCATGATTGCTTCTGTTGTTCTGTAGTCATCATCATCATCCAGATCTCGCATGATCTCATCACTGTCGGATCGATGCGAAACCTACTCAAGAAGGGGTAAAACCATGCCATGTGAAACTTTATTTACGATATCATGATCTGTCATGATTCGGAGATCGCATCGTTCATTGACCACCCGAGGTCGAGGGCCAGAAATCGCCGTGGAAAGATGCTCGCACAGCGATAGTAATACTTTTTTCTTTTCTTCTTGGGAATTGGGAATGTGGAGAACACTTTCGCCTTTTCCGGGTTTCCGGAGTCGTCTTGCCCGCCGGCCAACACGCCGTCGGGCCACTAAGGCAGGGGTAGCTTTAATCAGCAGTCCGTCAGCGTCAATCAGTGGAGGTAAGATGGGCGCTTAGCCTTAGCCACAAGTAACACCCTCCAAGCGAACAGGTGAAGCGGGAGTGGCGAGCATGTCTAGTCTAGCAGACGCATCCATGCGTGGGTGTTTGCTTTTTTCGATTTTCCTTTTGAGATCTATCATATGCTGGTCATCGGCGCTATCCAAGATTCGTCCTCAAATGCAGGAGAGGCCTGCATACCTTCCCCCGATGAGTGATGAAAAGGCAGATGCAAAAATTTACCTTGTAACAGTGTCCCTCCAATCTCAATGCAGCTCCTCCCGTGTCGCATTCCTTATCTCCTTCGAGAAGTATGTCGGAGTGGAACTCGAAAATCCTTCTGCATTTGGATTTCCTCCGAACCCCGAACAGATGAAACGGAGCTGTACGTACTCACTTTGGTCGTTGTGCACCTGACATGCGAATAGGGGCATGCACATTCTCGTGCTTTGGTTATGTTCCACGAGTGTCCCTGGGTTATCCTGGGCCCGTCACTGTGGGTGTCAAGGTCATGCCTTCGTCGTTAGAGCTTACTCGGTACGAGCAAGACAGGCTTCCCGCGGGATGGTTCGCGGGATGAGTACCATGGTTCGGGCAATAAGCAGCCTCATTTAGGGCCAGAGAGAGCCTCTAGGGTGGTTGAAGTACCCTTTCGAAAATATTATTGATAATAGACAATGGCAAACAAACCTTAGCCCATCGCTAATTGGGGTCTAGGCTCTGGCGGTCTCTTGGAGTCTTTGCTTTTAGCAGAGATCTACAGCAAGGATGGCCATCCACATCCGTTCTATTTCCATCGAAAGAGCCCGATAATGAACAATGTTCTCTGGTGAAAGATACTCCGGAGTGTTGTCTTCAGGCTTAACTGCAACAGACAAAAAGCAGACGATACCATCTCTGTGTAATACACAGGAAGAGTAACGATACGTACTGTGCTGATACGATACAACGTAAATACGACCGGCTGCGCGCTCCAACCACGTGCTTCACCCCCTCGACCTCTGTGGGATTCTTAGTCTGTTTCACCAGTTTCGAGGTCCCATCGACCCCACAGCGAAAGCGGAGTCCTGACAGGACGCATTGAACTCCTTCCATGCCATTGACTTGGTCACGGTGCACTGCGACCCCCTTGCATGGCCAGAAAAAGAAGGACAGAAAGAGGAAAAAAAGGCTTTTGCGCATAGACCAGGGCTAGGTTATTGACGGGGGCAGTTAGTTGCCTGCCAGCCAGAAAGTACTGTCAGTGTCGAGAGTTTGGTGTCTGTCTGACCCGCCCACTGATAGCCAACTTTTGTGAGATGCAATAGTCGAATGTTGCATCCATCCTTCAGACCCTAAATTTAGTTGAAGCATTTCTAGTGAATGGGCAGTCACGGGCAAACGACAAACAAGCCTTTGCCCATAACAATCCTTCTGCAGTTCGAACCCCCTTTTTCCTTCCCACTCCTCCAACCTCTACCCTTCTGGCCTCTCTTACCGTTCGTATGTATTACTCCACTCTACTCCGGCTGGATGGGGTTTCTGAAAACCGCATGGAAAGTGCTCCGTAATAATGGATCCTCCGTAACGGCAACGCATCCGCAGGTTACAACATACTTACCTTATTACTTGGGCAGTATTTTCCATAGCTCCAGCCACCCCATGCCATTGGCCAATTCCTCAGCGGTCTCGTCAGGGTTGACGCCGGAATACCGCGTGGTTTCTATTCCGGGGGAAATGCAGGTCGGGGTCTTGCCGCTTTTTCTCCTCTTTCTAAAGTTCTAACGGCCGGCTTTGGATCCTAACAGGGAAGAGCTCCTTCCGAAAATAACCATTTCGGTGCTGATTAATGGACGATCCAGTCAGAAGTAATTGAAGTCCCTGTTGCACTCCCGAGTGTCCTTTTCATGCTTGGCTGGGCGATCTTCATTCAGCGCCAATCGGGAACTCCCATAAGCACCCAATAATGATGATTGTCGTTCCTCCTTCAGAATACTGTTTAATTGCGGCCCATCTTGCTTGCGGCTAGGTTGCACTAAGGGACGGTACTTTCAAGCGAACTTGATTCTGGGCAGACATGTCACATGCCGGGGGGTGAAATGGTGATACTAATGCGGTGCATACACTCCAGCTTGGCAACTTTGCTAGATAGCACAAAGTTGACTAGTACGAAACTTAAACCTACTTTGCGCATTGTGGCTTCTATCTAGGACCGCGTAACGTTGCTTGGGCTTCTATTCTCTCTCCCAGACATACGCACATCTTGGCGAGGGACAATACGGGAAGTATCTCGCAATCCCGAACCTCGGGCGAGAATTAGCCGTGTGATCAAGTGGATAACTTTCAATTGTGACCCGTGTTAAGGCAATCTGGCGAATCGACTGCCTTGTGGTTATTGGTCAAAGCTGTCCGTCAAGCTGTCAAGTCAAGGTGCCCTCCCGAAGCGTCAAGGAAGCCACTGAGTTCCATTCGACTATCAGTACCTTGTTCGAGCACGGTATCTGCAGGTACCACCGTGGTGGACCTTGCCGTTGCTGCTAATTGCCTGTTGGGGACTCGGTAAATGGAGCCTTCTTACGAATCACTGCGATTTCTCATTGGTAAAACCTCAAATCATTTCCGTGATCCGTACCGGCGGATTCAGTCCGGGTATCGTAGGAATGGGTGCTCTCTTTTTTGCTTTTGACTTGCAATCTTGGAATGGCTACTCCGTACTCATCCCTGCATGGCTCTTTCCCTTTCCATGCACTGTAAAAGTACCGAGTTTGATCCCTACCTAGCTAGGGATGTAGGGCAGTCGCCGTTCTCAGCACTCTACAGTAGGAACCCCTGTTGAGTGACACACCAAGTGTGTTGCCTTGCTCCGTGGTTCAACCATGGTTAAGCCGTGAGCCAAACAGCCATAAGGTTTCAACCGAGCTGTCGCCCGGAGAATTAGACAGTTTCTCAGCATGAAAGGGGTTCAACCAACACATGGAATGTAGCATGTAGGTTGATTGGTTTTGACACTCGTGGCACACACACTCTCTCGCCAGGGGATTGCACGACATCTGAGCGCTTTCTGCTGGCCAAGTTGTTACATCGGCTAAAGTGAGTAGTAGCAGTTACCAATAAGTTCTTCAGCCTTCTGGGATGATCCAAATCCGTAAATAGCAATGAAGAAATCTCCTTCCCGTCCACTCACTGACCAACTGAACCACACCACCCATCATTTAACTTCAACATCATCATCCCATCTCCTGACCCCTGAAGCATAAAATCCACTTTTATGTTCCCCCAATGCACAGCTGACTCATCACCGCCCTCAATTGACTAGTTAGACAAACTCACTAACCAATCCACTAACGAGCCTAGACTGAAACGCCCGCATCGCTACGGATTTACAGGGGGAGCTAAGGGTAAATAATAGGCCTGCGCAATGAAAACCAGAATTATTATTATGGTTAATATTTCCAGCTCCGAAATGTTGTCCCCTTTCTCTCAGCTCCAGTCATCATCATCACAAGGATTCGCCGGTCTTGAACCTTATCCCGAGCTGACTGACTCCTAACGCATTTACGTGGTTTTGGTGAGATGAGTCGCATGCAGAACGGCCAAATACCAATTCCCCTGAAGAGGCCAAGGTCAGTCACTCAGCTTTCTTTCTGTTTTGTTTTGTTTTGTTTCTGGTTAGCCACTAAGAAAAGCTATCTGGTGCGCTTATCAGTTGCAACCCAATCACATTATTACCCCAGAAATTGGGTCATATCCGGCTACTATGCAGGGATTGGATTGGTAGCCACCTAATCCATCCCGCACCCTGCATACGGGAATGTACACAATAGCACGAGATGCTACCACTATACCACCTACCCACGTATAAAATAATTAATGTACTACCATCAGCTGACACTTACCCACTGCTATCTCAGCGAAGAAAGTTCCACTCACTCGGAAGATACTACGGTGCACAAGTACAACTACAACCATCACAGCAGCGATTCTAATAATAATAACAACCCTCCCGATATTGAAAAATGTCAGCCCTACCGGGGGTATAGGCGACACGATGATCACGATGACGATGATGACAATGACAATGACACCGAGATTCTGAGCAATGCTAGTGGTGACAGCATCATTAGTAGTAGAGATGGACGACAAAGGTCACGGGTGGTGATGCTCTACGCGGCGTATTATGTCGCTTTTGCCATCTTGTCGTTCTTCTCCGCCGCTTATTACTTCTTGTGCTGGATGCCGTGTATGTATTACGCCCCTGTCATAATGGCTGTTGTGTTGATTATTACTCTTGATCTACGGTTACTGACCATAGTCTTGTTTGTGCAGATGAACCGTCCAACAGTAATCCGTTTCCGGGCCGTCATCGGTGATGTACAATATCCTTACTTACCGTTCTACACAATCGATCGAGGGGATGCACATATCAGTCGATACTCAGACCAAAACCAGCACGGACTCCTATGCAGCGGGATACGCGAGTGATACTACACTACACCTGGCTGGAAGACGCCCGGAGTGAACAGAATATCCAACTTACACTTGTATACATATTCCTCTCGGTAGAGAGAGAGAGAGAGAGAGAGAGAGAGAGAGAGAGAGAGAGAGAGAGAGAGAGAGAGACAATGTACATACGTCTCTTATACATAATGCACAAAGAAGCAGATACGACAAGTACACAGGTTACCGGCTATTATCTAAATTCCATGAACGAACAGATGTGCATATAAAATTAGAGAATACGAGTACCCCATATGCCAGTATCAACTTGTCGCTGCTCCAAATCTGCGCGAACAACTATACAACCAGGAGGATAAAGACGCGCACTATACGACCTTACAACCTAGTTCGGAGGAGGGAGAGTACCTTCCCAAGATAGTCTTGAATTACTTCGCGAATAGCTGCACATATAACTATGTTTCACGCAGTGCTAGTTTCAAACTAGTTTTATATAGGACGAACTAGCATTATCCCAAGTTATAATCCGACACTGATAATCAATGTATAGACTGAATAATTACAATACTCTGTCTTTGACCAGGTTTAATCCATAGCTGCGCATCTTGGGAGAGCGAGGGCAGCTTCCCAGAGAAACACGCCTGGGCGGTTTTCACCAGACAATTATAGTGGTTTGGCCCCAGGTTCTTTTGTGATTGATGCAAGTCATAAGCACTCGATTGCTGAGGTTCGGTGTAGTTCGTGCTGGATAATGGGATTACATTTGGTTGGATCATTCACATACCTAGATATATATATAGTTTCTGTCTGATGGGAATTGAATAGTAGAAGGCCTCAGGGAGATGGACTTGGAAGTATTGGGGGAGGGTTGGGGGAAGTTCCACACACCAACAGATCTTGAACAATTACTTACTATATATTTAGCATAATGCATGTGCCTAGGGTTTTTCTTGTTGCCTAGATTGCGGTAGATGAGAAGCAGATCCTAGAGCTTCTCAGGCTTGTTGGCGACCCCCAGAAAGCGACAACGGTTCCTAGTGATGAGCATCGGCTCAGCTTGTGGGATTTCATTATTTGTGGGGGAAGAAAAGGCAAGAAATGTAGCAATGAGATTGAGGTAAGTACCTACAAGGACATTTCTTTAAAATGATGGGAGATGGGGAGAAGGGAAAGACACGCGGGGTATAATTGTTAGGGTATTGGTAGGCATTGGACGACATGACTACGTACTACTACTGTAGTCTCCATAACTGTCACCACCAATCACTGTGACATATCAACACACCAGGCAGGGCAAAGAGAAGCAGGCAGTAGTGTATGATCCAACTGGCGCAGTCGCTCTTAGTCCGTCCTGATAGACTAAAAGCGTTAGTAGTAACCGGGGTATGGAATGCTAAGCAGGGATCCTGAGAGGCGAAGCAAGAACCTTGTGGGCATAGCGGACCAGCGAAAGCGAACAACAATCGATTGTCAGTTAGTGTATGTTAGTTGATATTTAGTGGCATGCGTAGTGTACAGGCTGAGCCAACAATTCAACCAGAGATGCAGGTCCTAGCACAATCCAGTCTTTGTTTGTATGCGCGGATTATCGCTTTCAAAGGACGAGTTGCAGGGATAGAATATCCTACTAGTAACTTAGTATGTCACGCTGCTGTAAGATATTATAGTAATGGACTTGAATTCGGGTCTTCCCCAAGGCTGACCATCTCAGATTCATTTCTCACGCCTTATCCTCTTTTCGAATACTACTACCCAACTCCTACATTCTCATACTTCTCGCATCAGAACAGAACAGAACATGGCTCCCCAGAAGCAATTGGTCATTAAGCTGACCTCCTTCCGCTACAAGAAGGAAGGTATCTCTTGGAAGGAGTTCCACGAATACGGCGCCAGACAACATGCACCCAAGGCTGCCCGTATCCAGGAGAGACATGGCGCCTATAAGATCACGCACGTAAGTTCTCACTTATCCGTTTCTCTCTCTCGCTTGACCTAACATAATCTCTCTCGCTAGGTATACACTCCACCCATCACCAAGAGTCTCATCACCGAGAAACTTCCCTGGGCTCTCCGTCCTGGCTGGAAACTCGACGACCACGACGTTTCGATCTCCATGTACGTGCCTAACCCCGAAACACTACAGGCAATCATCGCGGACCCAGAGTTTCAGAGTCTCGTCGCTGGGGAGGACCATATCCTAGACCAGGAGCGGGCTACGGTGACCGCCGGCTGGGAGGAGGTGTTTCTTGACGAGGGCAAGATTGTGGATATTGAGCGCGAGAGTTGGGAGGCTTTTACGGCTATGGGTCAGGACAGTGAGAAGACGTCTGCTCCTGAGGATGTTGTATCTAGAACGGCTATACTATTGTTGGTCTCTAGATGAAGACCCTAAATGCCAAGCTGTCATTCTCGATGGCCTTTCCGTAGTAGAAACAGTAATCAGGACCTATATAATCCCTGTTAATTGTGATTGAAACCAGTGTATTGCTATGTTATGGCGTACCCTCTTGGATTCTTCCCACTCTATTTATGCTCCCATTTGTATAAAAAGTCCCCTCACAAAGCAACAACAGGACCATCATATTCCTTTCGGCCACGCACCAGCCAAAACACCGTACTCATCAAGCAAACGAACCCAAAGATCAAGGAAGCATAGTTCATGTTAGACGGTGTGACGGGTTGATAAGAGGGAAACACCATGAAGATACTGGTGAACAACAGATAAATGATGGCAATGACATTGATTGCAATGCCGGCGCGGCCAAGTCTCCATGGTCCATAGTTCACACTATGTGGTGCGGAAAGGCGGCGCCAGAGGAAGAAAACAATAGGGACAAGGTATGAAATATGTAGTCCTAAAACGGAAAGTGAGAGGATGGCGTTGAAGGCAGTAGTGGATGCGATATTGATCAATCCAAACAGGATGAGCAGACAGCTAGTTGTAATAATTGCGCGCTTCGGCAAGTCTGTGCGAGAATCAAGCTGAGAAAGGTAACTGGAAAAAGGAAGAGCTATGTGGGTCAGTAATGACATTCAAGAGGTAAGAGAGGTATAACGAGACTGTTCATACCTCTGTCTCGTGCCAATGAAAGAACCATACGAGCCGTCGATGCCAGCAGTGCAATGGTACCTAGCCAGGCTGCGATTATTAAAACAGCCGTCAGGGCACAGCTTCCAGCCAATGATCTTGTCACACTGCGGAAAATCTCGATTATTGGGTAGTCGGTCGGGGTCTGAAGTGCACTTTCCATGTCCCCCATGCAGAACAAAATGGTGAGGAGAAAAGCAAAGCCCAATGTATCGTTGATGGCCAGCGACCCCAGCATACAGTACGGGACGGCGGTTTCTGGGTTGGCCATCTCCTCGCAAAGATGGATGGCTCCATCGTAGCCTGAACTCAGAGTCAGATTATGCATTATGGTTGACAGGTGAATGCTAACGAACCCGCCAAAACATAGCAGCTGGAGAGCATTCCAAGGCACCAGGAAAGACCATTACTAGGCCACCCAGTGCTATTCAAAAAGGTGGTGAAAACAAAGCTGGCATTATGCTTGATTGGCACGCAAACCCACATAACGATTAGGACAGCCAGAAATCCCACCAGATGAATGATGAGGGACGCCGTCTCTACCAGGGAGAAAAGACGACTGCCCCAGATATTGAGAGCGGTGGCGAGACCGACAAGAGCCCAGTATATCATCGACAAATGCCAGCGCTGGGGATCATACGCCTCGCATGTGAGGACTACAAGGCCTTGTATCATGCCTGCGGCAAGATAAGGGGCACTAGCAGTGAATGATACCCAGCCAAAGGTTCCTGTAATTTGAAAGAGATAAGAATAGTCACGTATAAGCCTGGTGATGATAGTGCATACCTATCCATCCCACGAACCAGCTGAGGATGTTCTGCCATTTGTTGGGTGCAAACTTTGCGATGAAGTGATACTGACCTCCAGCGGTAGGGTATCTAGCATGTAACAAAGTCAGCTAATTTCAAGTATGAAGCAGGAAGCACTGACATAGACACCATTTCACCTAGGGAGGCTGCTGTTGCCATAGAACCCACAATCGCAACTACCATTTGATCAGAACCATTGAGTGCGGCTAGAGAGAGGAGGGACGAACGAAGGAATCCATAGATGAGTGATACAGGTCCACCACTAACGAGACCCGAGGACATTGTACTATTGTCAATGGAACAGTTAGACACGAAACTAAATTGTTGGAGTGAGGGCAGGCTTTACCTGGAGAGCGCCTCCCAAGTTGACATGAGAACCACAGTCAAGGCAAATATAGTGAGCCGAGAAAAGGGCTTCTAAAGAGCAACGCCATTAGAGGTTGTCCATGTCGACTTCAGACTGGTATAGATTATGGAAAAAGCATAGTGACCTTGATTGATATAACCTCTCCCATGCTGAGCCCATTCTCATCAATGTCTGCCGGCTTGGCAGGCATAGCCTCTTTAGGGGTCTTCATACTGGGTGACATTTTGTTTTCGACAATAGGAATGCCATTAATCCACCAAATGTGAAGACTTTGTGGGTAGGCATGGGATGTATAAAGCAGAAATACTGAGGCATAGAGTCCATCATGAGTGTCCAATAACCGGTTGCAACCTGAAAGATAGGCATCTTCGGAATCGTCATGGTCAGTATCCTTGCAAATGATATACGGACACGAAATGATTAGCGCTTCGTATCTAAAAGAGTATAAAAAGTGCGGGCCAGTGGAATGTTCCGATGCTTATCTTGACAGCGGAATTGCGGGGAAGCACTAGTGAGATACCTTATCATCTCTGGCGGATTATTGCCGCCATCTACAATCAGCTTTATCTACTCCACAACACTGTCCTCACGAGCAATACTACTACTGTACTCATTCTCTCCCCAAATCACTGTCGATGTCGGACCTCCAGCCCGTCTCACGCCGCAGGGTAAAGACTCGCAGTGAGTAGCTAAGATGATCCAAGTGTGCATACATTGAGGGAACTGACATACTTCTGATGCCAGATGGCTGTCTAAGATGCAAACAAAGGGTGGGACCAGCAACTCATAGGGCACCTCGTCACGAGTGTACAAGCTGACCTGGCTGACAGCGAATCAAATGCGATGAGACACTTCCTGTGTGTATTCAATGCACCCGTAAAGGTTTCGAATGCCCGGGATACAAACGTCCTTTGAAGTGGTCATCCAAATATGAGGTGGGGAAAAGTGGCAATAATAGCGCAGCACCGAAGTCATCCGAGCAGGTTCTCCGGAGGACAGAGCCCATCCAGCTAGTGGAACCCAACTTGTTCGAGTCCACAGTGTCGGACAGCGCCACATGTTCCCTGTCTGGGCAGACAATTGTCCAGTCCGCGCAAAACGAGACTGCTGCTAGATCAGATCCCGTGTTCGTCTCTGCGGCAAACAGTTTGCCGTCGAACGAAATCTGGACTCCTTCAAGTCTGCTAAGCGATGATTGTGGTGATTCATGGACAAGAACCTTTATAGCGCAACGGACTTTGTCTACCCCACAAGACGATGACACTGCACTTCTTTGGCATTATTTCTCCGATGTTTGTCCTGTTAACTCGTGCTTTGACTCACAAAAGAACTTCCTCCGCGTCGAAGTGGGATCCCTGATAAGCTCCCGACCTCTGATTCATTACTGCGTGCTATCAATGTCTGCCGCTCATCTAACGACAAAACAAAGAAATATGGTGGCGATCACACTGCGGCACCGGACAAGTGCACTCTCCTGCTTAAAGGCAAGACTCACAAAGGGGTTTTTGGTACAAGAAATAAACACTGGTTCACCGCTCAATGACATTGCCGAGATATTACTTGGTAGCATACTTTTGGGCATGACAGAGGTAGCCATCCTCCGTGTGCTTATGCCAGCCTTTTGTATGTCAAACTGATGGTCTTTCATAGGGGTGGCATGATCCCACTCAACTCGGAATAACGCATCTCCATGGTGCACGCACCTTGTTCCAGAAATGGATTACCACCGTCCCAGCGTGCTGCCCCCGAACAAGAAACACAATCACGGGTATTATGTCCTACTGGGAAGCAGTCGCGTCTTTTGTACATAACCAGTGTCTGGATTCGATATCCTACCTGATGCCGTACAGTCTTGAGGACGAGAGATGCGACACCTACGTCAATCCCTGGACAGGAATCTGCACACCACTTTTCATACATCTGGCCCAAGTTGGTATATTGACAAGGCAGCGATCTCTTGCCCGACAATTGTCTGTAGGGTGGGGCCATGTAGGCCCCGACATGCTCGAGCAGGCTAGAGCCATTGAAACTGCGCTCCTTTCCTACCAAATTTCATCAACGGATCGCATAGAAGACACGGTTGATTCCCGGACACCTGTCGACCACCTCCAACGAATTGCACGCGTCTACCGGCTTGTAGGATTACTTCAGCTCTATATGACCTTCCCCGAATTGCAGAGAGGCCCTTTTGTCGATTCTAGCCTAAACCACAGTATCTTGAGCCTGGCCACCAATGTGCTTACCACCATTGGGGTGCTTCCGCCAACATCTGGAGTTTACTGTGTGCTCACGATTCCATTGATTATCGCGGGTAGCGCTTTGCAACTTCCTTGTTTCTCGTCCGATGTCCCCGCATCCATACTGCAGCAGGATACCTATCTTTTCTGGAGGAACTTCGTGCGCGAGCGCATCAAGACCGTCCAAGGAATTGTAGGACTCGCTGTTATTGGCCGCGCGCAGAAGATTCTCGATAGGGTGTGGTTTCTAGCCGACGTGAGAAGGGCCGCTGAGGGACCTGGCCAGGAATGGGAATACATCCAGTGGACCGAAGTGATGAGCTCCGAGAAGCTGGAGTCGATCTTTGGTTAGACCGTCCATGGCACTAACCGGATTGGGGAAAATAGTGCGTCAACTAGAACAAGGAATGCGATTGGTCGAATTTCATACTCATAGATGTCTTTCTAGTAAGAGTCGTGAATGATCTCTTTGAACTACGAGTCAGTCAAACGATAACACGAAACGGCTTATGCTACGGCAATTAGTGTCTTAATCGATTTCTATTCGGGTTTTCTTCCAGTCACTATTGCTACAGGAAACCCACTTAAGACGTTCATCATCCCTCGGCTAAGCAACTGCTACATATATTCTAGTAGTAGCCTCATTCCAAGCCTACCAGAACACTCAACACTTCCTCCCCTCCCCCTCCATCTCAGTCTCCAGACATAACTCCATCAACATGGTCCTTCAAGTGAAAAGCAACACTGCAATGTACAATGTCCCCAGATACGGAGACATACCCAACATCTTCTTCGGTAGCGTCTCCTTCCCCACTACTATCATCAACGGGACATTAACATCGGAGACGTAGCGGACCTACTAGGAACAAGCGAAAGTGGCGAGAAGAACCCAATAGTTGGATCCTGGTTCCGAATTGAGAAAGGACCTGAATCTACGCCTCCGACATACTCGTATGACGAGGTTGGGGTGGTCATTGAGGGTGAGTGAGCCATGCCACCTTGATGATGATAAGACATGTATCAACTGATTATTGTTCTGTTACTGTGAAGGTGAGATTAATCTCCGTGATGAAACTGGACAGACCGTTACAGTGAGGCGAGGTGAAACATTCTTCTTCCCGAGGGGCAGTACTATCACTTTCTCCACGGATAGTTATGGGTTGGCGTGGAAGTGTGGGGGTCGTGAGATGGCGAGGCTTTGATATGTGTCATTGAATTATGATGTAGAATTCAAATATGGTAGAGTCTAGCAAGCTAGCAATGAAGTGATAAAACAAATCTTAATTTTGCTTTTCAGAGGCATAATATGGATTGGACCGAGTTCTGCGACACAATGTAGTGATTGGAGCTTACTATGTCTGGTTGGCAGTGCATATAATGGAGTTACCTTGAGGACTGCTTACGCATGGACTCGAGAAGCTCTGCAGGTATCAATTAGTGTCCAGACAAATCGATACGCCCCGTTCCCCTCACTTGTATAACTGAACTCACATCCCGCTAAGCACACCATTTCCCGAAATGGCAAAATAGTGCGTCAACTCTGCTTCCTGCCGCACATCAATTGTGGAGGTAATCAGCTGCAATTTAGCATCAAACATAGAATGCACCGGACTCGGAAATATCGGATAAGACCCTAAGTATTATAGTATTCATCTAGCACTTACTGGGTAGCCTGTCCTCACCAACTACTTGAGCAGCCCAACATCCTGCCAGACACATACTATATACACCATCACATGAACCCTTCAATAACCCACCCACCTCTGTACCACCCACGGTATCAACCATGTCCCGCTCCATTGAAGGCTACCTCTGGACCCCCAAACAAACCACCACAGGCCTACCCACCGACGCCGTCCACCCCAGCACCCCCACCCTCCTCACCCACTACGACGTGGTAGTGATCGGTGCCGGATTCGCGGGGCTCATTGCAGCCCGCGACCTAAGCAAGAAGCACAATCTTTCCGTCCTGCTCCTTGAAGCACGGGACCGCATCGGTGGCCGAACATGGACAGCCAAGGTGCTGGGCGAGGAGATCGAAATGGGCGGGACCTGGGTACACTGGAACCAGCCGCATCTGTATGCCGAGCTGCATCGGTACGGATTGCACAGGAACCTAAAGACATCTGCGGGGGCGTTTGCGCCTGTGGATCAATTGTTCAAGTCGTCCAGCAGTGGCATTGTGGACAAGGTGTCTGGCGAGGAGTATGGAGCTACGCTTGAGCGGGTTGCATCCAAATTCTTCTCGATCGATGGTTTGGATAGTCGTGCGTTGATGCCGTATCCGCATGATTCGCTGAGAGAGCCGGCGCCGTGGAAGAGGTATGATCATCTTAGCGTGGGGGAGCGGTTGGAAATGCCGGATTTGGATGGGTTGTCGGTGTGGGAGAAGGAGTTGTTTGCGTCGAATGTTAGTACATTTGGAAGTGCGCCGGTGAAGGATATTGGGTTTGTGGAGGCGTTGCGGTGGTTTGCGCTGGGAGGGCATACAATGGCTGGGGTGTTTGAGTTGGCGGGGGTGTATAAATTGGGGGGTGGGGGGATGACGGCTTTTGCGAGGGCGGTTTTGGGGGAGTTTACTGGTCATGTTTGCTTTGGGGCGGTTGTTGAGAGGATTGATCATGGTCGTGAGATGGTGAAAGTTGTTATGAAGGATGGGAGGAGGGTAGAGGCGGGGGCGGTGGTGTCGACGATTCCACTGTATGTTTCTTGTCTATTGCCCTTTTTATTCTCATGCTCTGGATCTTGACTAACAAGGGTAAATATAGGAACTGCCTCTCCGATATCACATTCCACCCCCCGCTATCCCCCCTCAAGAAAGCAGCCATCGCCAAAGGCCATATCAACAAAGGCGCAAAGATCCACTTTAAGCTCCGCGAAACACTACCGGGCTGGTTTTTCACTGCGCATGATGGCAGTGACTCGAGCTTTGTCTTTGCGTTCTCGGATCACAATGGAACCCGACCAACAGGTCCATCCGGCACCT